CTCCTCCTCCTCCTCCTCCTCCTCCTCCTCCTCCTCTTCTTCTCCTTCTTCTTCTGTCCCAGAATTGATGTCACAGCAATGCGTGGCATCATATTCCTCCACCATTTTTCACCCACCAGTTGACGGGCTGTAGGGAACGGGGGATTCAAGCTGAGGGGTCTCCCGCTATACCAGGGGACCTGCCCACAATGCAATGGGGCTGTAGAGGAAGAACATCCGGGTGCCTACTGGTCCTTGTGCAGTCGGGCCCGCAAGAAGGAGTACAGCAGTACATCCCACCCCCCAGCTAGGTCTGTGGAACTTCATCAAATGAGGAGGGCACGGTGATGCTGAGAGGGGCCCATTCCCCCTCTGAGCAGTGACACACAAAGCTTGCTGTCCCCAATCCCACACATCTCCTTCCCAGGATATACTGTGAACAAGAAACGAAACACGAACTGCTGAACTTTCTGACAAATCCCTAGCAGAGATGTGGGTGAAAGTGACTTGGCAGAGCCACATAAACCGTTTTTACCTCCCCCCTACCGATTTTTATTCCTTTATGAAGAGATACAAGATACACCGGTTTCAGGATTTTAAATTATTTTATTTTTTCGCCGAAGTTGCAATTGGACAGTCAGAATTAAAAAAAAAAGTCACATCACACACACAAAGTTTGGGTATTAGTTACATCATGATGCACATTTGTTAAAAATATCTAACTACACATCCATAAATAAAAAGCCTATTACTTTTAATTTAGCAAAAAAATATATATCCTTAACTTCATCTCTGCCTCTCACCCCACCCCCCAAAGTTCCCTATTCCTCATGGAATACAGCTTGTAGTCCTAAACACACTTACTTAAAACTAGGTGCTATTCTGTTTAATAGGGCTTACTTCCTAGCAAAACTGTTCAGGGTTATGGTATGCTGTGTCCATTTCAAATGGAATGACAAATCTTAGCCCACTTTCATCTCACTTAACATTATGGGTGCATGAAGCAGTAATGAAATGGAATCCATTGAACATAAGAAGTGACTTTATATGGATTCCCACCACTGGTTCATCTAGCTCAGTATCACCTTTTCTAATTGGCAGTCAATCTGCGACAGATAAGGGTCTGGCCTACCACCTTCTACCAGAGATAATTTAATCAGAAATGACGAGGATTCAACCTGGTACCCTCTGGATACAATCAACCACTGAGCCATAGCCCCCCCCCACTCCTGATAAAAAGACTGGGTGAGTCATGTAGCTCTCATAGCTACATGGACTTTCCAGGAGGACTATTCCCCTGGATAATTTTTCCCCTCTCGGGGACAGAGAACAGATGAGAGCAACCGGCTGGTCTCTTTGGAAACAGAATCCTGGTCCTGAAGAGACTCAGTCTGACCTAACTAGTCCATTTTTAATGCTCAGTTCCAGGTAGAGCTTGGAGGGAAGCCATGACAGTTAAATACCACCTGACATTTGTACTATACATGTGTGCTCTTGAATGCAAAAGCACAGGTAACAAGCAGGATTCTTAAGGCAACTTTTCTTCTACGGACTATCAAATTGTCTCATCAAGAAGGACAATAATCCAGTCACAGCTAAATTCATCTGAAAGTCCCGTAGAAACCAATGGGTCCTAAGTGTGCATTTTAATCCCATGAATTTCAATGGAAGCCACTTTTGTATAACATTAGGGAATTTCGTTCTATACAGGTTATGGTTCAGGACTCACTCCCATCCACTAAACTACACAGCCAAGCGCTCCTTGTCGTTCTACATTCGGTTGGCGTTCAATAGCAGCTTGCAGAGCTGAAGGAGTTGCGGTGCTTTATCATTGGCTGTGGGCCTGCTGTAAGGCTTCGTGGAGTCACGGACCGACTGTAAATCTCCGCCCAAGGGCGTGGGGGCCTTCTGATGTCAGGCAGAGGACGCTTTCCGGTGGACAGTGAGCTATCACCGTTGGTGAGGGCTGGACGAGAAGATTCACCCAGTGCTAGATTCTCAGGAGCACATGGGCTAAACGTTTCTACTTTGCATTCTTCAGGGAAGACTCGAAGAATCGGTCCAGGGAGGTCCACTTCGATTGGAGGGGGCTGTATGGTTATCTTCATCTCCGGGCCCTGGGAAACACATGGAGAAGAACCCAGCGACCCACACACTTCAGTGCAGGAGTTTGCATGTGACGTCAGGGCCTTGGTTTCATTCTGCTCCCCACTGGTGATGGCACCTGCAGTTTCGCATGGGTTGTGGACTTCCACGGCGCACTCCTCCGCTTCAATTTCAAGAAGGGGTCCCGGAATGATGAGTTCAATTGGCGGAGGGTATATCACCACTTTGGAACTTGGGCCTTGCGCCACACATGCCGATGCTGTATCAAGCCCACATGGGACAGAGGACGAGCGAGACAGAGGAGTCGAGACCATGGGCCCATCGCTAACTGATGCCGAACGAGTAATAGCAGGTGGCTGGGAGCCAGCAGGGATGCAGGGTTGTGAGGTTGCTATAAGGCATTCATTCGGGAAACTGGTTAGGACAGCACCGGGGATCGTAATGCATACGGGTGGGGGTTTTATCACCATTTGAGAGTCAGGAGTGGTTGATATACAACACGGAGTGGAGCCACAAAGAGCACGCGGACCAGAGGACTTGGTTACGAGCGCCGTGGAACATCCATCCAACCCATTGGTGAGGCATGCAGTCTCCGTTTCCACAAGGGTTTTACCGGGCGATGTGGCGAGGATCAGCCCTGGTAGAGTGAGCTTAAGCGATGGTGGGTGTATAATCACTTTCGCATCTGGGATCGAGGTGACGCATGGAGTCGTGACGCACTTCACACCTGTCTTTGACATTCTTCCGGGATGTAGATCAGCCTGAGGAAGGAAGAAACATAGAAAGGCAGAATTAGCAGGATGGTCGGGGGGCATGGGAACGAGGGATATGTTGATCCTTAGTTTTGTAAAAAAAAAAATGCTGCCCTCCGAATTATTTGATGTTCAAGGGAAGGTCACCACGTTGGCCTCAAAATGAGCTGAAATTCAGCATCGGCTGAGGGATCTGCAGATCCCACCCTCTGACCCTCCAGCCCTGAGAAAGTGCCCTTGATTGACCAGGATTCTTTTGTTGTTCTTTCGTTTCGTTTCCTTCGTTTCCCTCCCCAGAAGATTCGCCCAAAACGAAAATTCCAAATCTGCTGCAGGCTTTTCCACTGGGAGAACATGACTGGCAACTCTAACTTGGAAAATTAGTGTTGAAAGAGATGCAGAAGAATCCAGAAGAGGGCAGAAGAACAACAACAAAAAAAGTGCACCTTTGTACAACGCCCGCAACTTCCTGCAAACCAAACTGAACCCCCTTCCTGTATAATTCTTGGCATCACTCCTAATCACCAGGTTGGAATCCTTCTGCCTCCCACATGCCTATTATCCTTTTTGTTTGTTTCTTTCCTTTCCGAGCATGGCCGATAAACATGCCGGAAAATGGTTTCCACACTGAGTTCCATCCGTTCCTAACCAAGCGAGACAGCAGGGGACCTGCCCAGTTCCTTCTTCTGCCTCACACCCATTTCCTCCTCCCTCCCTCTGCCCCCTTTTACCTCTTTAGACTTCAGTAAGCAACATTTGCAATTCTGATGGCAAACGGAGCTACGTACCTGCTCCTTGCCTGCTTCTCACCGGGGATACGCTCACCGCCCATGTGCTGCGTAGAACTATTTCTTCAGCTTTATAGCTAGCAGGAGAACGCAGGCACTCCCTAAAAAGGTTTTTTTTTTTTTTTTTTTGCTCTTAGCATTGCTAATTATTTTCTGAGCTGTACGTCTCTGGAGCCCCAGATGAGCTCAGGCCTCCTTCGTGGAGGCAGACACAATGATACATCGGTTGAGAAAGGAGGGGTTTCTTGTTTGTTTGTTTGAACAAGGAAATAGGCCAAAAAGAAAAGTTCAAGGGAAAGCACATGAACTGCCAGTCCCTGGTTACCACAGTGGGCTTTGAGGCTATTTTTTTTAAAGGATTAATGCATAGACATTCTAGTGGCTCAGAGGTAAAGATGCTGAGCTGCAGACCGGAAGGTCTGTAATTCAGCAGTTCGGGACCCCAGTGCTTCATGATGGAGTGAGCTCCCGTCTCTGGCCCCAGCTCCTGCCAACCTAGCCGTTCGAAAGCAAGAAATTGCAAGTAGATAAATAGGTTCCGCTTCGGTGGGAAGGTAACAGCATTCCGTGCGCCTCGGCGTCTAGTCATGCCAGCCACATGACCACTGAAACGTCTTCGGACAGTGCTGGCTCTTCGGCTTTGAAACGGAGATGAGCACCGCCCCCTAGAGTCGGATCTGACTGGCTTTCGAGCAAGGGAAACATTTACCTTTTTTAATAAATTTATTTTCTTTTCACATCAAGATTATACATATTTCAACTATTAATTTATACATAATTTCCAAATTTGAATTAAAAAGGAAAAAATCATCTGATACTTTCAATCTGATAGTTTTATACTAGCATTTACTACTCATTTTTCTATCTTCTTGTGTTTCAGCCACTCATAGACTAGCTTCCATCTCTTCCAAAAAATATCCTCTGGTTTATTGTTCAGTGCCAAGCTCAACTTGTCCATTTCTGCAATCTCCATAATCTTGAGTTAAAGTTCTTTTATAGATGGAATGGAACCTTTATGTTTACTATATGAATTGCATGGGTTTGTTTGACTGCACTATGGCAATCAAGCCAAGAATAAATTCTGCACTCTACCTTTCAGAGTAGGGTAGGGATAGCAGTCCCCAGGTGGGGGGCAGGGATCCCCTGATTTTGGGGGTTCCTCCAGATGCCAGTCAGGTGGCTGGAGTGGGAAGCCCTGCCCCCAACACTCCTCCACACCCCAGCACATGCCTGCCCCGCAAGCCATGAATTCGTGGCTTGCGGGGCAGGAGGGCACGGCACTCTCTCTTTCCCCAGCCATTTAAACGGAAGGTTCCCTTTAAATGGTTGGGGGAAATGGGGGGGAAGCACACAGTGCCGCATCCCCGACACGATGGCATCACTCTATATGACATCATAATGTTCTATATGACATCATCATGTCGGGGATGGCCCCATCCCTTCCCAGAATGCCCCCCAAATCCCCCCAACGGGGAGAAGATATGACCTTGCAGCCCTAGAGTTGGGTTGAGAGATAACTGGAGATTTCGGAGTTGGCTTCTAGGGAGGGTTGCGTTTTGGGGACGGCAGTGGTGGGATGCCATAAAGTCTGCCCACTGAAGATTCAGGGAACTGATCTCTGTCAGCTGGAGATCATTTATAATTCCAGGAGAACTCCAGACCTCGCCTTGAGGTTGGCAACCCAGACTGCAGGCGATGGTCCATACCATGGCTGGCAATACGCAGGGCTCTTTTTGTAGCAGGAACTCCTTTGCATATTAGGCGACACACCCCTAATGTAGCCAGTCCTCCAAGAGCTTACAGTAGCCTCTGTAAGAAGAGGATTGGCTACATTAGGGGTGTGTCGCCTAATATGCAAAGGAGCTCCTGCTACAAAAAAGAGCCCTGCCTTTTAGAAGTATTTAGGGTGGTGGAAAGCACCATCGAGTCGCCTCTGACTTATGGCGAGCCCGTCAGGTTTTCAAGGCGAGAGATGTTCGGATTTGATTTGCCATTGCCTGCCTCTGGATGGCGACCCTGGGGCTTCCTCGGTGGTCTCCTGTCCAAATGCGAACCAGGGCTGACCCTTGCTTGGCTTCCGAGATCTGATGAGACTGGGGTAGCCCGGGCCACCCAGGTCAGAGCAAGAGTTAAGTAGAGTCTTCAAGGCAAGAGATGAACAGAGGTGGTTTGCCATGGCCTGCCTCTGCATGGCGACCCTGGGGCTTCCTCGGTGGTCTGTGGTCCAAATGCTTGTCAGGGCTGACCTTGCTTAGCTTTGGAGATCTGGCATTGATTGGGCTAGCCTGGGCAATCCAGAATTATTTATTTATTTATTTATTTATTATTTTCAATTTGTATCCCGCCTTGCCGGGAACCGGCTCAAGGTGGCGAACAACATTAAAAACAATGAAACAATCAACACACTAAAATACAATAAAATATACATAAACAATGACCTAAGATCATAAAATCTAACAGGAATGGTGCAGATGATGGCGGCATCAATATACAATCCCCCGAGGGCTACTGGGACTATCCACCGGTGTTTTGTATAGGCCATAGCATGTTCCGGTAGCACATTCGTCAGTGGCGACTCCTAATCGAAGGCCTGGTGGAAGAGTTCCGTTTTACAGGCCCTGCAGAACTGTAAAAGGTCTCGCAGGGCCCTGATGTTATCCGGGAGCTCGTTCCACCAGTGTGGAGCCGCCACTGAAAAGGCCCTGGCTCTGGTAGCAGCCAACTTGGCATATGCAGTTCTTTAAAAATGGCTCCAAGTCCCCAACCTGGAATGGGGGCACTGCACAGCGACTCCAGGAGCTCTTGTCTCTCCCCCACACACCTTTTCAAGTGCTGAAACAGGTGGATTGGGGGCACACCACAGTTTTTAAAGAAGTTCAAATGCTTCTAAAGGGGTCAGTAGCCATGGGTCGATCTGTGGCCACTGTTGCTTGTAGTTTGGCCCAAAGTGATACCCAGACACACAAAGTTCAGTGTGTTGCATATTAGAAGGAAAGCAAATATTTGCCAAGTGTTTGAAATCTCTTGCCCCCGTGGCTAATTTCACCACTCATACTTGGAATGTGTTGTGTTGTTTTTTAAAAAATGGTGGGTATTTTGTGTGTCTGTGTGTGCTTGCATGTCTGGAAGCCATGGTGACTTCTGGCAACCTGTAGGGGGATTAGGACGTTTCACAGAGGTGGCTTGATATTGCCTGCCTCTGCATCCTGCCCCTGGTATTCCTTGGAGGCTTCCCTTCCAAGTACTTGCCAGGATTGGCCCTGCTTAGCTTCCATCATCACTATTATTATTATTATTATTATTATTATTATTATTATGCCCTCCCAGCCAAGGCCGTCTCAGGGCGGCTTACACAAATGCAGCATGCAATTACAAAAATACATAAAATATAACTTAGATTAAAGCCGTTCTAAAACCCTCTAAACTGCTAGCAAACGTCAATTTCATAACACTGCTGTTATTCAGCTCTCTTGTCTCACAGCCAGTCCTTTGATCCTCTTTAATTCTCCTTCCGGCGGCTGGCTCAGGCTGTTGTTGGAGTTCCAAGGGCAAACAGGGCTCTCTGACTTCGGCTATCAGTTCTTAATGGTAGCGACGGCTCCAAAAGCCCGGTGGAAGAGCTCCGTTTTACGGGTCCTGCAGAAGTGCAAAAGATCCCGCAGGGCCCTGATCTCCTCTGGCAGCTTATGCCACCAGAGAGGAGCCACCACTGAGGAAGCCCTGGCCCTAGTTACTGCCAGCCTTGCCTCCTTAAGACCCGGGAGGGCCAGTCGGTTCTGGGCCCCTGATTGTAGCACTCTCTGGGGTACATGCAGGGAAAGGCTGTCCCTCGGGAATGTAGGACCCTGACCATATAGGGCTTTAAAGGTAAGAACCAGCTCCTTGAAGCGAATCTGGCATGCTATTGGCAGCCAGTGCAGTGCCTTTAGCATGGGCTGGATGTGCTCCCGAATATCTGGCAAGATCAGGCCTGCCTGTGCTATCCAGGTCATGGCAGAAATTGTTAATTTGAGCTGTCGTCTAGTTTAAAGAAATCGTTGAGTTTCTGGGGCTGGATCACCTGATTGTCTTATTGGGCAATTGAACGTAAAAACTGTGTGTGGGGGAGGGGGTATGGATTTGAGCCCTCATATTGGGCCAGTCCGTGTTACCTCTTCTAGCCCATTATTTCATGGATCATATTTGCCCCATGCTGAAAACCTAGGCTTGCCAGCCCCCAGG